TGTTTTTGTTTCAGAGATAGTAGGAACTGCAGATGCTGGAGAATCTGAGATAACAAGATGTACAGCTGGATGAACACAGCAGGCCAAGCAGCATCAGAGGAGCAGGAAAGCTAACGTTTCGGGTCAAGACCCTTTTCTGAAGAAGGGCCTGGACCCAAAACATCTGCTTTCCTGCTCCTCTGATGCTGCTTGGCTTGCTGTGTTCATCCAGCTCTACACTTTGTTATCTCTTATTTCTGTTTTTGTTCCCGATTTACAGCAACCACAGTTCTTTAGGTATTTATATGGTAGAACTGGGAGTAGGAATAGGCCATGAGCACAGGAAAAATCTTAATGAGCATGCAACAGGGGCATATTGTGGAAACAAAGACAAAATGAGATGTTTAAGAAAGTCATATGTTTCTTGGATAATGAGTGTGTCAGTTCGTGTGAGTAATGTGGAGTAACAGATAATTATTAAAGTAACACAATCTCTTCAATCCTATTAATGATGCAACATTTTCAATGGGCTGAATGTCCTCCTCCTATTCAAATATCTTCTGGTCCTTATGATTTTATGTTGAATTATGTGACATGCTTAATGGGGCGAATGGCCCACTGAGGTTCCTGTATCACATGGTCCTTATGTAGTATCTTCCTGATACTATTTTATAAGTTTCAATCAGAGTGTTTTGTTCCTGCTCTGGGAGGTACTGATGGGCTCATAGTCACCCACTCCCCCACCCCATGATGCTGACCTCTTAAATTCCACCAAACCCATGTTGTCATACATCTTCTATCTGCTCCTCCACCCACAGTCCTCAATCTCATCAACCCCCTCACATCCCCTCACCTCCCTGTTGTTGAAACTTTTCAATCTTCTCACCCTGCTCCCTCCTCATTCCCCACCCCCCACTGTTGCTGACTCTCTTCAATCTGCCCACAACTTCCCCCCACCCTCCACTTGGCCAAAGTTGTCTATCTCATATGCTGCAGGCAAGGATGCCCCAAGGCATGATATATTGGCAAGGCCATGCAGAAGCGATGACAATGGATGAATGGACACTGAGCAACAATCGCCAGACAGGGACGTTCCATTCAAGTGGGGGAACACTTCAGCAATCAACGTCATTCAGCCTCGGATCTTCAGTTAAACATCCTCCAAGACAGACTTCAGGATACATGACAATGCAGAGTTGCCGAGTAGAGACTGATAGCCAAGTTTGGTACCCATGAGAATGGCCTCAATTAGGATCTTGTGTTGATGTCACACTAAAGGTGACCCCCCCAAACTATACACTCTCACACACTCACATGTGCACACACAGACACACACAGACACACGTTCTCTATTTCCCTCTCTCTCTCTTTCTGTCTCTCACACACACAAAACTATGGGGTGAATTTGCATTTGCAGATTTGTAATTGCAGATATATTCTATTTTGTTCTAAAAGCACAAAATTTGTAGACAATTAATGTGGCATTTTATAAATTCCTACATGAGAAATAAAACCAGTCCGACTCCAAGTTGATATACAGCCAGGTTCTAAACAAGGCCTCCCACCTAAAATGATTTGTCCGACCCGAGATGTCACCTCTGGTACACTGATAAAACCTTCAGTTATCTTGGGGCTGTGACTTGAAAGAAATTCTGGGATTTGTGTATTAATCCTTCCCACTGACAAAAGATTTAACAGCCAGTTTGTTTGATGCATTTGCATCGGTTCTATGACCCTTTGATCTTTTGGTGATAACTTCTGTGTCTGATGCCACCTCTCTGAAGAAGCGAGACTCCAAAAGTTTGCATTTTCAAATAAACCTGTTGGACTATAATCTGGGATAGTAGGAACTGCAGATGCTGGAGAATCTGAGATAACAAGGTGTAGAGCTGGATGAACACAGCAGGTCAAGCAGCATCAGAGGAGCAGGAAAGCTGACTTTTCAGGCCTAGACCCTTCTTCAGAAATGGGAGAGCGGAAGGGGGTTCTGAAATAAACAGGGAGCGAGGGGGAGGCAGATAGAAGATGGATAGAGGAGAAGATGGGTGGAGAGGAGACAGACAGGTCAAAGAGGTGGGGATGGAGCCAGTAAAAGTGAGTGTAGGTGGGGAGTTAGGGAGGTGTTGGTCAGTCCAGGGAGGACGGACAGGTCAAGGGGGCGGGATGAGGCTAGTAGGTAGGAGATGGAGGTGGGGCTTGAGGTGGGAGGAGGGGATAGGTGGGAGGAAGGACAGGTTAGGGAGGTGGGCTGGTTTTGGGATGCGGTAGGGGGAGGGGCAATTTTGAAGCTTGTGAAGTCCACATTGATACCATTGGGCTGCAGGGTTCCCAAGCGGAATATGAGGTGATGTTCCTGCAACCTTCGGGTGGCATCATTGTGGCACTGCAGGAGGCCCAGGATGGACATGTCATCTGAGAATGGGAGAGGGAGTTGAAATGGTTCGCGACTGGGAGGTGCAGTTGTTTAGTGCAAACCGAGTGTAGGTGTTCCACAAAGCAGTCCCCAAGCCTCCGCTTGGTTTCCCCGATGTAGAGGAGGCCACAACGGGAACAGCAGATATAGTATACCACATTAGCAGATGTGCAGGTGAACATCTGCTTGATGTGGAAAGTCTTCTTGGGGCCTGGGATGGGGGTGTGGGGGGAGGTGTAGGGGCAGGTGTAGCATTTCCTGCGGTTGCAGGGAAAAGTGCCGGGTGTGGTGGGGCTGGAGGGGAGTGTGGAGCGGACAAGGGAGTCCCAGAGAGAGAGTGATCCCTCCGGAAAGCAGATAAGGGTGGGGAGGGAAAATGTCTTTGGTGGTGGGGTCGGATTGCAGATGGCGGAAGTGTCGGAGGATGATGCGTTGGATCTGGAGGTTGGTGGGGTGGTACGTGAGGACAAGGGGGATTTTGTTTTGGTTGTTATTGCGGGGAGGAGGTGTGAGGGATGAGTTGCGGGAAATGCGGGAGACACGGTTGAGGGCGTTCTCGACCACTGAGGGGGGGGGAGTTGCGGTCCTTGAAAAACGAGGACATCTGAGATGTTCGGGAGTGGAATGCCTCATCCTGGGAGCAGATGCGGCGGAGGCGAAGGAATTGGGAATAGGGGTGGCATTTTTGCAGGAAGGTGGGTGGGAGGAGGTGTATTCTAGGTAGCTGTGGGAGTCGGTGGGCTTGAAATGGATATCGGTTTCCAGGTGGCTGCCAGAGATGAAAACAGAGAGGTCCAGGAAGAGAGAGAGGTATCAGGTGAACTTAAGGTTGGGATGGAAAGTGTTGGTGAAGTGGATGAACTGTTCAAGCTCCTCGTGGGAGCACGAGGCAGCGCCGATAGAGTCAATGTTACGGAGGAAGAGGTGGGGTTTAGGGCCGGTGTAGCTACGGAAGAGGGATTGTTCCACGTAACCTACAAAGAGGCAGGCGTAGCTTGGGCCCATGCGGGTACCCATGGCCACCCGCTTTGTCTGTAGGAAGTGGGAGGAATTGAAAGAGAAGTTGTTGAGTGTGAGGACGAGTTTGGCTAAGCGGATGAGGGTGTCAGTGGAGGGGGACTGGTCGGGCCTGTGGGACAGGAAGAAGCGGAGGGCCTTTAGGCCATCCGTATGGGGAATGCAGGTGTATAGGGAATGGACGTCCATGGTAAAGATGAGGTGTTGGGGACCGGGGAATTGGAATATAACCTGGTGTTGGGTGAGTTTTGACCTTGTCCAACCCAGTTCAACACCAACACTTCCACACCACCCCTCCCCCTTCATTGAGGAATGGTTGGACCGTGACGTCACATGAAACCCCTCTATCAGTGCAGCATGGCCTTCACAACTTCTGTCTTGTAGGGTGAATTTAGAAATTATGAATCTATCCCGTTCATATAACCCCCTTAATATAAGATTTTCTCATTAAAACGTAATTGACTATCTGTGGATATTTGGGACTAGCGCCTCTGATTCAATGTCCTTGAAAAATCAGCGCGAATTGGATTCAGAGTCTCGCTGACCTCCCCTACCTTTCGAGTCGATCAGTCTCTGGCCTGTTCCATTGCGAATAATCTCCTATTAATGGAGGTGGGGTGTATTTGTTTCCTTTGCTACAATTTAGTTGTCAATTTTAAGATGTTGTACACTGTAAAAAGAACACAGCTGTAGCCTGAATTGAATAAAAGCGAGTAAAGTGATCAGAATCACGACAATCATCAAATTAGAGCAACTGTCCGCCCTACAGTCTTTCAATGGTGAGACCCAGGCTGCTGGTTATTCCAATTGGAAAAAGGGGGAGTAGAATTCAAATAGTTGAGTGTTAAAATACTGCGCACAGCGCATTGCATGGGAGGATGAGTATCAAGGAACACAAATATAGTAAGGAGCATGAGTCTGCTTGTTGAAGGAGGCGAACTGCGGTTGCTTATGAATACGTTGAGTGTCTGTGTTGGAAACTCCTCTCCTTCCCCCATTTCTGAGGGAATGGTCTGTGCCAGAGTGCGGGGCGGGGCTATGGTCGGTGGGCGTGGCCGAGCGGTGAGCGGGCGTTGCGCTGACACACGTGGGCGGGGCCCCGCTCGGCCTTGGGTCAGTGGGCGGGGCTGGTCTGTGGGCGGGGGCCGCATTGCGATGGGCGTTGGCTTCGCCCCGGTGGGCGTGGCTCCGGTTTGTGGGCGGGGGGGCGAGGTCGGCCAGTGGGCGTGGCCCCGGCGGACCGCCCTTTCTGTCGCTCCCCGAGCTGACAGCCTCAGTTGGCCGGCGGGCGGCGGTGTGGGAGGTAGGTGTGTGCTGCGCTGCGTCTTCGCAACGCAATGCCTGGCTTGCGGCCTATGGCAGAGAGAGAGAGGGGAATGGGAGGGCGAAAGAGTTCCGGGAGGGAAAATAAGCGACTAAAACAACAGCCCTCTCTGATTGCGGGTGGGGAAAACGAGAAAGAGAGTATAGAACCAGAGGGAGGTAGATAACCTCTTTCTTCGCGGACTGCAGATACCTGTTGCTGGGGCAACAGTCACCGCTGACCTTTGACCGTGGTGACCTCTCACCTCTACTTGTCCTCCCTGGGAGCAGCCTGGGATGGAAATGAAAGAGGAAGGGAGCGCTTCCTGCTGGCACAGCAGCCTGGAGAAGGTCAGGAAGTGCTAAACTTTCAAACAAAAGTTCACTCCCTCGTTCTGTTTGCACTGAGCTTGGAAAGGGGTTTACTTTCTGTCTGAATCCTGGATTGGGGTCACGCAACCCAGGATGCAAAGGAAGTGAGTGCTGATTATTTCTTTGCAAATCTCTCCACCACCCCTCCCCACCCTCACCCTCTCAGACCCAGACTGGCGAAGTTACCTGTTGCTATCTCTCCACAGCCATTGCCAGACCTGCTGACTTTCTCCAGAGACAGCAAGAACTGTAGATGCTGGAGTCAGAGTCAACGCAGTGGGGAGCTGGAGGGACACAGCAGGTCCGGCAGCATCAGAGGAACAGGAAACTTGACGTTCCAGCTCGGACAGGTCTAACCCCTGAGTTTCTCCAGTAGCTTGGTTTCAGAACTTGTTTCAGCGTCCATGGGTTTTCTTTTGTTTCATTTCTTCACCCTGCCTCACCTCTTTTTTTTGTCTTTTGTGATCTAGGATTTGGAAGGTGGGATGTCGACTTCCTATTTGGATTGAGCCTCGCAGGGAGGGAATTCTGCTGCGCCTTGGGTTTGGGAGGATTATTTTCCTGAAGCAAGGAAGAGAATTTCTTTGCATTAGGGTAGGCACCTTTCAGAAGGATTGAACCCTCACATTTGAGACTATCCCTGGGCTCGGGGGAAGCGACGTTCCTGATTTTTCGCACTGCGTTTTGAGGTTCCAGAGTCGTGAGGCGATCCTGGATTCTGAGGGCCCTGAATTTTAGGACCCTGAGAAGGGTGACATTTGATATTGGGATTCCTTCCATTTGGCTTGCGGGGGAGGAAAAGAAAGTCAGCCTTCCAATCGGATCACCATGTGTGGGGACGGAGTTGGCTGAGTGTTGGAGCAGTTGGGAGCTTACTTTGAGACAGGCTCATCCTTTCGAAGATAAACGCTCCCCCAGCTTATTTCGGGCAAAGAAGCTGGAGACCCATTTCCATAACTGCACTTCTACCAGAAAGATTTGAAGGATCCCGGCTTGTCTTCTGCGCCTTGCCGTAAGGTTATCACTGGCTTCTGCGTTGGGTCACACCCAATTTGGAGCCGCCAAATCAGGGAAAAGATCGGTGCTCCATTTCAGTGGACTGTGCACAAAGGTGTGCATCGGCGAGGAGGACTTCTCGTGAGTGGAGGTGGTGAGATCGCGGTGTTCCTCTGACGGTAAGTATGGCACAACCCAGGCCCCATGAATTCCCCACAACGTCCTGACATCGCTTAATGGAATGTCAGCTCAGCGTCTCTTAGGCATTCACAGGGTCACGCCCCACGCCAGAGTCCTGGCCCAGTGCCCATGTGGATGGAGTGCATTGCTGTTGGAGATACTATCACTCAGATAAGCGTCAAAAACCCTGTCAGCCTCTCATGGGTGTGGTTTTGACAGAGAGGAGCTTCCCCTCCCCAATATCTGTACGTGCACTAAAGTATCTCTTGACATCTGGAATCATAGAATTCTATGGTGCAGAAAGAGATCACTTGACCCATCCTGCCTGTACCAGCTCCCAAGAAAGCTACCCAGCTAGTCCCACTCTCCAGTCCTATCTCCGTAGCCCTCGAACCACTTCATTCTGTAAATTAGTACGTGACTGTTAGTTTTATCAACGCTGTAAGTGTGTGCAAGCTTACTCCGTGCCAGTTGGCCTCTGTGTTTCCTTCATTGGGATAAGTGCCTACACCTCCAAAAACACTTCATTGACTGGATAGCGCTTGGTGACATCCTGACATTGTGACATGTGCTGGACAAATGCAAGACCTTGTTTCCATAGGACAGTAGAATGCAGAAATCGTCCATTCAGCCCATCTCTTCGAATGAGTTAACCCCACTTCCCCCAGCACCCTGACCTTTCCACCCTTATTTGAGCGTATTTCCTACTTCTAGGATTGCTTTACAATTCCCTTTTCAAAGTTAGTGAACAGGAGTGAGCCATTTGTGACCAATCTAACACTGTCTGATGTGCTGCTTTCTTGTCCACTGTCTATCCCATTTGGCTCCCTTGTCAATTGAGTGGCTTTATCGATCTCAAAATGTTCAGTTGCCTAGCTTCCCTTTCTCTCTGTGTGAGAGAGAGTTCTACAGTCACAAAAACCCTCTGTGAGGAAAATATTCTCCTCATCCCATTTATTTTTAAACTCCGTCCCTTTCTAGTCTCTTCCAGAAAGGAAAGCATCCAATCAGATTTGCTTCCACCAGCCTTACAGGTAACAGAAAGGCGTTGCACGGAGGGGTTTGAATTGAATTAGCTTTATTGTCACAAGACCTCAAATGAGTACAGGTGAAAAGGTTACAAGTAGCCACTCACGGCACCATCTTAGTTACAAGCTACCTAGGTACGGATTCTTCACTACAAGTCCTTGGGAAGAGGGGGGGAAACAAATTAAAAATCAACAAGTCCACCATTGCAGATCGAAGGAATAAATTAGAAAAATAGAGAAATAAAATGTTCAAACAACTCAGTCCACTCTGGCATCCAGACTCCAGTGCACACTGGACCTTGATTCCAGGCCGCGCCAGACTTCACCTCGAGGCCAGGAGACCACTCTGAAATCACCTCGAGGCTGGAAGTCCACACTGAGGCTGCGCCAGCTGTCCTCAGACATGAATCACAAAAAGCTAGTATCTAACTTTTTAAGCAGGTAATGGGGAAGGCAGATGGACCATCAGCCTTTACCGCAGAGCAAACGGAGTATGAAAGTATGGAAATTCTGCTAGAGCTATACAAGATGCTCATCAAACCACAGGTGGAATACTGTGAACAGTTTTGGTTCCCTTGGGTACCGGCCACTGACGGCAGTCCAAAGAAGATTTACTAGATTGACCTTTCTTTCGGAGAGATTTTCTCATGACAAGTAGTTTGGGCTTGTACTCATGGGAATTTAGAAGAATGCAAGGTGACCTTATTGAAACATACAAAAACCTTAAGGGACTTGGCAGAGTAGATGCGGAGAGGTTGTTTCCCCGTTGTGGGAGAGTCTAGGACCAGAGGACATGATCTGAGTAAAGGGCCACATATTTAAGACAGAGATAAGGAGGAATTTTTTTCTCTGCGGGACGTGAGCCTGCATATTCTTTTGTACCATCAAGGCTGGGGTCATTAAGTATACTCAAGGCTGAGATAGACTGATTTTTAATCAGGAAAGTAATCAAGGATTATGGGGGAAAAGGCAGAGAAGTTGACGATTATTGGATCAATCGTGAGGTCATCAAAAAGCGGAGCAGACGCGATGGGCCGAATGACTTATTTCACTCCTATGGCTAATGGTCATATCTCTAAGACTGAACTCAAGATAACCCACTGTTTAAAAACACCAAAAACAAACTTTCTCCTCTTTGGCTTTTAAGTTTAGTTTCAATCTGTGTCCTCTGATTATCGCTTCCTCTGTATCTGCTTGATCCAAACTCTCTTGGTCTTGAATACTTCGATCTTGTATCTCTCCCCTCCCCCCCACCTCCTCCGACTTAACCAGCTTTACCATCTCCCCACAGTCACCGAACCCCTTGTGCTCCCTTCACCAAGGCTTCTGTACAGTCCAGTGCCCAGAACAGGGCTGGAATGCAGAATCACAACAACAAGGGGAGGTTTAGTAGTGACAACCTTGCTTTATGCACTGTCTCTGTCTGTTGGTGAAACAAGAGATCTGGGGCCCCATAAGGTCAGTGACAACAACACCGATTTGGAGCCTGGACCTTTATTGTTCTCTGTTTACTTGTGACCCTTGCTGAGCTGCAATGTTTCCAACTTTGCAATGGGGTCAGAGCATGCTACAGATGTTGTATTGGATGAGCTGTCTCTTTTTTTCAGTCTCTCGCTAGAGCTCTCGCAATGCGCTGTTACATTCCAATTTTAGACAGTGATTGTTCAGCTGTGACAGACTTGCATTTATGTAGTGCCTTTTGCAAGATCAGGCAAAGCATTTTGCATCCCCCCCTCCCACTCCTCCCCATCCCTTATAAATGTTGTCGCTGTCGTCAATGTTGAAAACACCGTGGACAGTGTGCGCTGCAAATTCTCCCACTCGGACGTCTGATAATGACCAGGTGATGTGTTAATTCAGCGATGTTGACGGAGGGATAAAGATTACCTCCTAGCCAGATCAAAATGGCAACAGTGGAACCTTTCCCATCCAGCAGAGAGTGCAGGCACCACCGCAGTTTCAGGCCTGTCCAAGCACTTCTGATAGTGCTGCGCTCCCTCGGTGCTATCCCTCTGAAGGTGCGCGGTGCTTATCTCATATGACACATGAGCTTGGAGCAGGAGTAGGCCGCTGATCCCTTTAAACCTGCTACACTGCTAAAAGATCATGGCTGATCTGATAACTCCACATTCCAGCCTACCTTTGAGAAAGCTTCACCTCCCTTGCTCACAAACCGACCTCCCCCTTAACATTGCTGAAAGGCTGTGTTTCTCCTGCCCTGATGAAAAGTCATCCAGACTCAAAATGTTAGTTTGCTTTCTCTGCGTGGATGCTGCATGACTCGCTGTGATTTCCAGCATTTTTTTCTGTTTTCAGTCTGCTTCCACTGTCTTTTGAGAGATCCCAAATACTCGTGACTCTGAGAAAAATATTTCTCACCATCTTTGTCTTAAATGAGTCACTCCTTACTACTGAAGCATAGGAGACTGAAGGGTGTCCTTATCAAGGTTTATAAAATCGTGAGAGACATAGATAAGGTGAATATCAAAGGTCTTTCTCTCCCAGCGTAGGGGAGTTCAAAGGTAGAGGTCATGTTTTTAAGGTGAGAGGAGAAAGATTTGAAAGGGACTTGAGGAGCACCTTTTTCACACAGAGGGTGATCTGTACATGGAATGACCTGCCAAAGGAGGTGGTGGATGCAGGTACACTTAAAAAAGACACTTAAAAGACATTTGGACTACAACATGAATTGGAAAGTTTCCATTAGACCATAAGACATAGGAACAGAAATTAGGCCATTCGGCCCATCGAGTCTGCTCTGCCATTCAATCATGGGTGATAAGTTCCTCAACCCTATTCTCCTGCTTTCTCCCTGTAACCCTTGATCCTCTTGATAATCAAGAACCTATCTATCTCAGTCTTAAATGTACTGAATGACCTGGTCTCCACAGCCTTCTGTGGCAGTGAATTCCATAGATTCACCACCCTCTGGCTGAAGAAGTTTCTCCTTATCTCCGTTCTAAAAGATCTTCCAATTACACTAAGGCTGTGCCCTCTGGTCCTAGTCTCTCCTACCAATGGAAGCATCTTCCCAACAGCCACTTTGTCCAGGCCATTCAGTATTCTAAAAGTTTCAATTAGATTCCTCCTAAACTCCAATGAGTATAGTCCCAGAGTCCTCAAACGTTCCTCATATGTTAAGCTTTCCATTCCTGGGACCATTCTTGTGAACTTCCTCTGAACCCGCTCCAGGGCTTTCAGAGCAACATGGGCCAAACACGGGCAAGTGGGATTAGTTTGAGACACTTAGTCACCATGGGCGAGTTGGACTGAAAGGTCTGTTTCTGTGCTGTATGACTCTCCAAACAGCAAACCCTCGTTCTAGATTCTTCCACAAGAGGGCCCATCCGTTTCATGTGCTCCCTATCAAGACCCTTAAGGATTTTGTAAGTGCTGCCTTAATTGAAACATACTCTTCTAAGCTCAATTGGACGCAGGCCTAGCCTGTCTAATCTTTCCTCATAAGTCACCCCACTCATTCCAGAGATCAGACTGGTAAACCTTCTCTGACCTGCCTCCAAAGGATTTGTGTCCTTCGAATAACGGGATCAATACTGTACACAGTATTCCAGATACGATCCCGTCAGTGCCCTGAATAACTGAAGCGTACTTGCCTACTTTTGTGTTCAATTCTCCTTGCTATAAATTATGACAATCTGTTCACTTTCCTGATTACTTGCTGTCCCTGCATACTAATCTACCCTGATTCATATACGATGACACCCAGATCTCTCTGCAGTCTCTCACCATTGAGAAAGCACACTTGTTTTGATCCTGCGTGCCAAATTGGCAATTTAACATTTTCTCACGTAATGCTCTTATCTTGTTAGATCTTTGTGCAGTCAATCTATCCCTTTGTCAAATATGTTAATTTCACAATTCTATCTGTGTGTCATCAGCAGATTTAGCAAATGGACTTTCCATTCCTCCACCCAAGTTATTTATATAAGTTGTAAGCAGTTGGCACCGTACCCTGAGGCACACCACACATTACATCCTAGTGAACAGGAAAAGGCCCATTTATACCTCCTGCTTCCTGTTACCCAGCTAATATTTTATTCATGACAACATTACCTCCAAAACAGTTAACGTCTATTTTGCAAAATAAGTTTAACAAATGCCTTTTGAAAATCAAAGAATATGTTTAACCACAGTACCTGTTACTTCCCCAAATCACACCAATAAATTGGTTAAACATGAGTTCCCCTTCATAAAACTATGTTCCCTCTGCCTGACTATCTGAATGTCTTTAATTGTTTCAAACCTCTCCCGTGTGACATATGTTGAGTGAATTGACCTGTGTAATTTCCTGCTTCCTGTCCCTTCCCCTTGTTGACTGGATGAGTTAGGTTTGGCACTTTGCAGTTAATGGAATATGCCTTGAATATAGGGAATTTTGGAAAATTAAAAGCAACGCATCAACTATCTCACTGGCCACTACTTTTAAGGAAAAATTGCCAATTCAGTTTAGCCAGCTCTACTTTCATGCTCTCCTAAGCTTCAAATACTTGACTTGGACTAACTTCTTTCCCTTAAGCTGAATCTTGCATGATGCCACGTTATGCTATGTGGTTTGGTCCACAAGGTGCTGTTCTGTGGCCCCTGACCCCCATTCATCTCACCCCCCGCCAGTGCCAGGAAGGCCATAAGAAAGCAGCTCTTCAAGCCTGCTGTCCTATTAAGTAGGACCACGCCTGATCCAACATTTTCCTGGTAAAATGTTAGAAAGTGTGAGGTCATGCACTTTGATAAGAAGAAGAAAAGCATGGACTATTTTCTAAATGGGGAGAAAATTCAGAAATTCTGAAGCGCAAAGAGACTTGGGAGTTCTGGTCCAGGATTCTCTCAAGAAGTAGTTTGGAAGGCAAATGCAACTTTGGCAGTTATTTTGAGAGGACCTGAGTATAAAAGCAGGGATGTACTTCTAAGGCTGTGGTCAGGCCACATTTGGAGTATCGTGCGCAGTTTTGGGCCCCATAATGCAGGATGGATGTAATGGCCCTGGAGCGCGTTCAGAGGAGGTTCACGAGAATGATTGCAGGAATGAAAAGCTTAACATGTAAGGAATGTTTGAGGACTCTGGGTCTGTACCTGATGGAGTTTAGAAGGATGGGGAGGGATCTAATTGAAACTTACAGAATACTGAATGGTCTGGACAGAGTGGATGTTGGGAAGGTGTTTCCATTGGTAGGAGAGGCTAGGACCAAGGGCACAGCCTTAGAATAAAGGGAAGACCTTTTAGAATAGAGATAAGGAGAAACTTCTTCAGCCAGAGAGTGGTGAATCTATGGAATTCACTGCCACAGAAGGGTGTGGAGGTAGGTCATTGAGTCAGTTTAAGACGGAGATAGTTTGTTAATTGTCAAGGGGATCAAGGGTCACTGGGAGAAAGTGGGAGAATGGAATTAAGAAACTTATCAGCCATGATTGAATGGTGGAGCTGACTTGATGGGCTGAATGGCCTCATTTCTGCTATGTCTTATGGACATTCCTCACATCCACTTCCCTGTCCTTTCCCTGTAACTCATGATTCCCCAACTAAATGCAAACCTATCTCTTTCAGCCTTAAATATACGCAAGGGCTTTCTGTAGCAAGGAATTCCCAAGACACTCAACTGTCTGCGAGAAGACAGTCCTCTTCATCTCGGTCTTAAATTGGCATCCCTTTACTCTGAGATACTGCCCCCCGGTCCTAGATTCTCCCACGAGTGGAAACATACCCTGAGCCCTGTCCCCTGTCCCCCAGCCAAAGGGACAGTTGGTTGACCATGGGAGGTGAAGCTTGGGTTTATGGCACAGAGGAGGCAATGGCCTAGTGGTATTATCACTCCACTGTTAATCTAGGTAATGTTCTAGGGACCCGGGTTTGAATCCTGCCATGGCAGATGGTGGAGTTTTAATTTAGTAAATACCTGGAATTAGGAGTCTGATGATGACCATTGTGGATTTTCAGGGAAAACAAACCCATCTGGGTCACTAAACTGCCATCCTTACCTGGTCTGGCCTACATGTGACTCCAGACCCACAGCCATTTTGTTGCCACTTAACTGCCCTCTGGGCAATTAGGGATGAGCAATAAATTTTGGCCCAGCTCGTGACGCCCTCATCCCATGAATTATTGAAACTCTGTTTGGAGGTTGACAGTAAAGAGAGGGGAGAGAGACCGATCCACAGCCGCTGAGCTTACGGATAGCAGCTAATAGCCAGAGGGAGCAGATACGCTTGTGTCATGCAGCGATCTTCATCCAGTTCGCTCTTCCTTTCAGATTCCTGATGGAGCCTCTCCAGTCGGTGTCTCTGATGAATAAGCTGAAGGGTCTGAGCCAGGAGCAGCTCCGAGAGGTCCTGCACAGCCAGGAGAAGCAAGAGAGCCTGGTGTTGGACAGTGAGGAGGTGAGAGAGTCTGCCTGCTTTCTCAGATGCACCGAGTCTCAGTTCGGTAACAATGTCTTATCGCCCGTCCTGCTGCTGAGTCCTGGATGGGCTATCTTCAGGCCAGATGTGTACCCAGGGTGTGCACAGGTCGTGCAATCCATCAGCTCTGTCCCTACAAAGCACAGCAGCATTCTCCCAGTCCGTGGCCGTCGGGAGACTTGCTTGCCCGCTGACGGCATTTGGAAGAGGAGCCAGTCGAGGCCATTCTCGCTGAGGGCCTTGCTGACCCCTTTGACCTCACCCTACTCTCCTGCCCTAGCCTTAACATTTTTATAGCAACAGACTCCCTCTTGCACTGATTGTACGCACGTTTGGAGCTCTCGCATCTCTGAGGCGCCTTCATCCGGGAGCGTGGCTTTTATTTTTCACGGCTATGTGCTTGCACTATCCACCTCCAAATTGTTGGCCTGCTCAACTGGCACCCAGTGCGCGGGGGGTGGGGGTGGCGGGTGAGGGTCCGGTTAAGCATGACATTGCTATTGGTCCCTGCCCCAAGCCCCGTTTTTGAGGTCCCTGCTCCAGCCGAGATCGTCGCAAACCTACGATCAGCTTCACCATCACAAATCAGCGCCGTCATTCAGACTGCCCTGTTTCTGTCTCTGCGTCTCCAGCTTTTCTGCTGTCTCGCCCTCCTCTTCGAAACTGGAAACAAAGCTGCCCCTGCCAGCTTGTCCTATCCACTGCCAAAGCCTTCGCCATTGCTCCACTGCCTTCAGGCTATGTTATCCCTAGCTTCTCCCCGACATTTTAACCTCCATGAGAGCATTGTTACTACATTTGCAGATGACACCAAGATAGGTGGCAGGTGTGGTGGTGTGGAGGACGCAGGGAGGTTGCAGAAGGCGCTGGACAGGCTGGGGTCGGGGGGGCGCGCAAAGAAGTGGCAGATGGAATACAACGTGGGAACGTGTGAGGTCATGCACTTCTATCAGAAGAATAAAGGTGTAAGACTTGAGAAACCTGAAGCACAAAGGGACTTGGGAGACCTAGTTCAGGATTCTCAAGGCTAATGTGCAGGTTCAGTTGGTGGTTTGGAAGGCAAATGCCGTGTTGACACTCATTTCGAGAAGGCTAGAATACAACAGCAGGGATGCACTGTGAAAACCGTATAAGGCTCTGGTGAGAACACATTTTGAATATTGTGAGCGGTTTTGGGCACCATATCGAAGGAAGGATGTGCCGGCATTGGGAGTCCAGAGGTGGTTTACAAGAATGATCCTGGAGATGACGGGCATGTTGTATGAAGAGTGGTTGAGGGCTCTGGGTCTGTACTCAATGGAGTCGAGAAGGATGAGGGGGGATCTGATCCAAACGTACTGAGAGGCCTGGATAGAGTGGAAGTAGAGAAGTTGTTTACCCTAGTAAGAGAGACTACGACTCAAGGGCAGAGCCTCAAATGAAGGGACGGCCTTTTAGAAGTGAGATGAGGAGGAATTTCTTCAGCCAGAGGGTGGTGAATCTGTGGAACTCATTGGCACAGAATGCTACAGAGGCCGTGTCATTGAGTGTCTTTAAGGCAGGGACAGGTTCTTGATTAGTAAAGGGATCAAGGGTTATGGTGAGAAGGCAGGAGAATGGATTTGAGAAATATATCAGCCACAATCAAATGTTGGAGCAGATTCGATGGGCTGAATGGCCGAATTCTACTCCATACCCTGCGCTGTTATGAGCCACGCCTTCAGCTGCTTTAGGCTTCGATCTCTGGAGTACCCTGTCTCCAGCTGTCTGTTTGGTTTGGTGGAGATAGAAAGCTGAAATGCCTGAAGAAGAAAGGAGGGAAATGACGAGAGAAACTGAAAGCGACGTGTCACCATGGGAATTTCCCCAGCTCGGTGATTAATGCAAACCCTGATGAATAGGAGAACTTGTTTCCCGACTGTATCCAACTTACTGAAATCTGAACCAGCTCTGTCACTGACTGCTGAATTGTGCATCGAGTGTAAGTTTCATTTTCTGTAACTTCCTCCCTGCATTCGGGAAAGCTGTCCTCTGAGACACGTGAGGACATGGGCCCAAGCCCTATCTTGGGTGAGTGGGGTCCTCGGAAAATAGTCACAGGTGGGGGGGCTGGGTGGCCGGTTCTGGAGGGGGCACAGTACAGACGGTGGGTCAGCACCAAGGGAGCGCCACGCTGCCGGGGGTCTGCGCGGAGGGAGAATCGACTGATAGTAGAGATGAAAATCCAAGCGCAAAATCAGACCCCGGCTTTATCACAAAATAAAACTGCAGGTGCTGGAGATCTGAAACAAAAGCAGAAAGTTGCTGGAAGAAACTCGGCAGGTCTGGCAGCATTAGAACTCAGTTAGTGCTTAGAGTCCTGTCACCCCTTGTAAAAGCTGAATGCAGCTGGGAACTGGGTATACTTGCGCTGATGACAGGAGATTGAGGGGGGCATGAGTTGAGTCGAACAGTTAGAAACAGTGCCCTGATGGAGAGAGGGTGGCGGGGGGGGTGGGGAGCGGTAAAAAAGGAGGCAGATAAAGGGGACTGCTGATTGTAAGCCGGGAGAGAAGTAAATACTGAGAATGTGCCAGCAGGAAATGTGAACAGTTGAAGATGGGTTGACCGTGCTGGGAGTAACCCTTACATCACAGGACCTAGGTGCCTGGGGGTGGGTAATAGTCATGAAGGGTCATGTTCATGTTCTGAAATTGATAAACTCAACGTTAAGTCCTGGGGACTGTGAGGCACCTAGGTGGAAGATGAGGTTTAGTTCTCCCAGCTTGCAATGAACTTTGCTGGAGCACTGCAGCAGGCCTGAGATAGAAATGTTAGCGTGGGGAACACAGGGGCGTGTTGAAGTTGCAGGCAGCTGGAAGGTCGGGGTCATTTTTTTTTTTTAACAGATAGAACGGAGATGTTCCTCAAAGCGGCCACACAGTCTATGTTTTGTCTCTCCAAAGTCAAGGAGACGGCATTCTGAGCAGCGAATGCAGTAGACTAGATTGTGGGAAGTGCAGGTAAAGTGCTGCTTCACCTGGAAAGTATGTTTGGGCCCTTAGATGCTGAGGAGGTAAATGGGCAGGTGTTACACATTGAGGAGGAATGGACCAGGGAGCAGTCACTAGGTAATGCTGACAAAGGAGGGGGAAGATGTAACAAAAACAGAAGCAGCTGGAGAAATGCAATACGTTTGGCAGCAACCGGGGAGAGACAGCAGACTCGATGTTTTGCCTCCAGTCACCCTTCCTCAGAACCGATATATCCAGGGGATGAGGGACGTGGGTAGTGGGTGGCGGAAATGGCAGCTGATGATGTAAAGTGAGGACTATAGGGGCACAATCGCTGTTGTGGGAGGGAAGGCAAGGGGTGAGGGCCAGGGTGCGGGCGATGGGTCAGACCTGACCGAGGGCCACCTCGACCGCAGTGGCGGGGAATCCTACCTCGGTTGATTGAAAAGGTGGGCTTGTATGAGGCCCCTCCTGCGAAAGCTGGTATCATCAGAACAGACGCAATGTTAACAGAAAGGCTTGGAGAATGGGATAGAGTCCATACAGGTAGACCCCTCTGCTGAGTTGAAAAGATCCTGCAGAACGCAATTGTCCAAAGATGTGCAGGTTAGGGTGGATTGGCCGTGCTAAATTGTCCCGTAGTGCCCAGGGATGTGCAGGTTAGGGTGGGTTAGCCATCTATGTGGGATGCCCTTCAGAGGACTGGTGTGGACTCAATGGGCCAAATGGCTGTGGGAATTCTCTGAGTTGGATGACAACTGGGGTGGCTCAGTGTCCTGATCTCCTGGGCCCTCAAGTATCTGAAGAACAGTAGATTCTCTGCTTAGCTCCTTTGTGGAAACATGCTGTGTAACATCAGTTGCCATAGCGCAGTCTGTCGTCAGCAGTGAGGCTCAGCTGTGGAGAAGGGCTAGCTGAACCGGCGGGGGGTGGAATATGGGAAGCACCTCTTTGCATGAAAGGGGAGCGCAAATGTGCCAGCCTTTGCACAAGACAACTTTGGGCCCCAAAGATCTGTTGTCTTTTTGTTTGGGGTGGTAAGAGTATCGAGGGATTTATAAAGCAAAGGTGGAGATTGATGCGGCCAAGGTACTGAGCACCCAAAATCCAACGGAACGGCAGAGCAAGGGGATGCTCTGCGGAGGGTCGGTGCACACTCGATGGGTCGAACGACCTCTCTTACGCACTTGTAGGAATTCTGTGACTGTGAACGTGAAGACCTGAGGGTTGTTCCAACAGAGTAGTTTCAGAGGGTAGGAGGTGCTCGTGGAATCGCCCTCTACTTGGTGGAGTCCGGAAGAGCCGCTGGAACCGGAAACTTTGGAAATAGCGGTGACCTCTTCGGATGAAGGGGTAGTGCGCGTGTGCTACCTTTATTCCATCCTACATGAGAACTCCAGATGTTGGAGCTCAATCAGAGCTCATCAGACTGAGAGCAGCCATTTATTTGGGATGGGGGAGGCTGCTGAGGGCACAAGGCAAGTAGACTCTGTGACGCTGTAGTGGTGTAGAGCAGCCGAGGGTCAAACTGAATGGCCAAACGTGATTGTAGAAGCTGAATGGCATCCTGCTAATCCCACGTCCCCATCTCGGGGTGGGACCAAATGGCCTCTTCCTGTTCTTGTGTAATGGCCCTGGGGAGTTGGTGGGGGAGTGCAGTTGACAGTGAGGTCTGGGTTGAGTAGTTTGTGCGGTTTCAGGAGATGTTGTGAGAGAGACTGTTCCACAAGTACACACAGCACGAGCTGGAGATGGCTGTAAAAAGGAACAGATCTCTTTTTTTTTTGAGGTTTTTTTTGTGTTGGAGCTGATATCCTCTGTTACTTGGAGCAGTAATTATTACGAATGAGCTGCCAGAGGAAATGGTGGAGGCTGGTACAATTGCAACATTTCAGTGGCATGGGCAGATAAATATGAAGGTTTGTGAGGGATATGGTGCTGGCACATGGAATGAGATTAATTTAGGATATCCGGCCGGCACGGATGGGTTGGCCCGAAGGATCTGTTTCCATGCTGTACAGCTCTATGACTCTGTGGTCTCCTCAGAAGACTTTCAGAAGAATCTAGAGAGGGATCTGCAGGTGAACCCTGTTTTTATTCCTTTTTGGATGGTTTTCAGGAACTTTCTGTAGTTCTGGCCAATCGGGAAAACTCGCTTAATAGTTTGAAACGTTGTCAATCGTTTCGATGGCTTACCACTGTTGGTTTCTTTGTGTAGCAGGACCTTTCTGTCTGGGCCCTCCTTTGTTTAGTGGGTAAGTTGTTGGGGGTATGTGTGTCCAGGATAACTATTGCCTTCTATATTATGCTAATGTAATTAGCACCTGGCCGCTGTGTTTGCACAGTGTCCGGTCTGTGGGTTTTGTCGTTTTGGAGTTTTACTTGGCCAATGTACCCAGCATCCCTTGCTGCTTGGCCAAGTTAGCAATTTAGCTGCATGGCTGCTAAACCTTTATGAAACGCAGGGAGGACACAGTTTTGAGTTAGTCTAGCTGGGACCTAAAGTGGGTAATTCGGAGCAGCTTTTCCATCAATGCTTTGCAAGTTTGTTCTCTTCTATTTAACCCGTTTTTCTAATCCACCTGTTCAGAGGTGTTATTACACACGTCTGCTGGGACTTGAACCCTGGGGCTCCCGGTTCAGGGCTTAGCAACCTACTACAAGAGGGCCCAATTTGTTCTTTTATCTGTCTGTGGAGAGAGCTCAGTGTTCTGTCCCCCCTGCTCGGCTGGCACCGCATCGGGCCCGATCAACTCTGTCTGTTTCTTTCCTCCACGCTCGCACGGCACACAGTGTTTACAGGGAGCATCGAAAAGGGGTGCGCTGAGTCTCTGGCTCTGTTTGAGCTACCCAGGACCGGTTAAACCAGACGGGAAAGCTGCAAGGCTGCATTCCCAACCTCCCAGCTGCAGGTGAACGGACCTCGCATGCTGCACTCTCTCCAGTCTACTTGGGGTCAGGACAGCCAGTCGATGACTACAGGCATGTGGAGAGAGCGTGACGAAATAAAATGGTTGTCCCCCCAAAAGGATGGGACTGTGGGATGAGTGAATGGACTGCAGCAGCTAGTATTTTGTGGTAAAAGGCAGTAAAAGCATCTGAAGAATTCTAGTGGTAGAAAACCAAAGGGGTATCAATGGAGAGAGAAATTTCAAACTACCATGATCCGAGAGGAAATGGTACTGGATTAAAGGGTAACTGAGTCCCCTGGACCTGAAGGCCTGTATTCGAGGTGCTTGGAAATTGGCTGCAGAATTAGTGGGCCGCACGCACGGGCACACGCGCGCGCACACACCCACCAAATGGCTCCCTCTTTCAATTCCCCTTCCATCCCCCCTCAACACCCTCATCACCCATCATCTCCTATTCTTCAGCATTTGCCTTCCTGTGTTTTCACTCTCACTTCCTGCATCTTTTCCTTGTGCTCCCCTCTGTAACGCCCATTGTGAACCAAGCCCATCGACTGGACAGTAACTGATCAGAGTGAATATCTGGTAGAATGACGCCTTCCGTGACTTGTCTGTCTGTGGACTGGGGTCCGGTGTGAGGATGTAGTACTCCCCAAAACCCTGTGACCCCCGACCACCTAGAAGGAAGCAGATTTAAAACCTGCAAGTTCTGCCTAAGCCAAATACGATCCTGACTTGGGACTACATTGCTTTTCCTTCAGTATGACCCCCTTCCTGACAGCACTCCAAAAGACTGCAGTTGTCAAAGAATCTGGGCTCCCCCAGCACCACCTCCGGTCACGGATTGATGATAAATGTTCTCGTCACCTTGGCTGTCCACAGACTCAGTGCTGTCAGGGCTCTGCCTACCATTTCTCACTCCAGGCTGAGTCATTTTCGCCCCTTGCCCAGTGGCCTGAACACTTAGCCATATCGCGGCATTGTGGGATTGCTGCTCCCCTCCATCGTGGGGCTCTGATCTGTACTGCCCCTCCCACCCTCCGACCACCTCCACTGTGGGGCTGTGTGATCTCCCTCTGCACTGGGGAGCCCCCTGACCACCTCCATTGTGGGGCTGTGAGGTCTCCCTCTGCACTGGGGAGCCCCCTGACCACCTCCATTGTGAGGCTGTGTGATCTCCCTCTGCACTGGGGAGCCCCCTGACCACCTCCATTGTGGGGCTGTGAGGTCTCCCTCTGCACTGGGGAGCCCCCGACCACCTCCGTTGTGGGGCTGTGAGGTCTCCTTCTGCACTGGGGAGCTCCCCCACCGCCCCCCCACTCCCCCCATCATCTCCACTGTCAAGGTCTCTCCACTGGGCTCTTCCTGACCACCTCTGTCGTGGCTGTCTCTGATTTCCCTCTGGTCATGATGTCTCTCTGGAGGTGATCACGTGAGGTTTTATGATCTCTCTATCTCTCCTCACCTGGGCCTCCAAATGTCCTCCACCGTGTGGCTCTGTGATCTCCCTCCACACCGGGGGCCTTTGACGACCTCCATCGTGGGGCCCTGCCATACCTCTGCAGTGGGCCGTCTGACCACTTCCATCGTGAGGATCCGTAATCTTTCTCTGCACTGGGGCCAGCCAACAATCTCTGTCGGGGGTGGTTGGGTGGGGGGCGGGGGGTGGGGGGGTGCAGCGGCGCTCTGGTCTCTTTCCACACTGGGGCCTCCGACCACCTCCGTGGTTGGGGTCTGTGATCTTCATTTCCCCCTCCCCACCCTACACTGGAAGTGCCCCACCGCTCTCCGAAACCGCCTCATCTTCCTCTTGTCTTTTTCCCAGGTGCAGAACCTCCAGCTGGAGCGGGAGATGTCACTGGCGACCAACCGCAGCCTGGCCGAGAAGAACCTGGAGTTTAAGCCGCGACTAGAGGGCGGTAAGGGCCGGCTCCAGGAGAAATACACAGAGCTGCAGAGGTTGTATGAGACAGTTGAGGAGCAGAGGAAGCAACTGGGTACGTACATGCGTGCGCTGTCAGCAACCAGAAAGCGAGCTTAAACTCTGGAAGGAGTTCCTCAAATTTCCCACGAGGAGTCGTCTCCAGCTGGAAGAGCCCATTCCACGCATTGCTCTGTCTGTGCTTCCTACGTTCAATTCATCCCAAGTACAACATGCAGGTGTCCTGAAACTCGGAAATATCACCAAGTGTAATGAAGGTGCCAACAGATTTCGGGGGAAGGTACGATTGTACCATTTAGGGGCAGGAGCAGACCACTTGGCTGCTCAGTCCTGGTCCACCGCTTCATCGAATCACGACTGATCTAACTTCGACCTCGACTCCACTTTCCCATGTCAGCCAGAAATCCGTCCAACTCAGCGTGGAGCATATTCAACAAAACGGTCCTGATTGTTCTCAGTCCCGAAGCCCAAGAACCCTGTAAAGCTGGGAAACCCCTCCTTATCTCTGTCCCAAATGGGTGACCCACTCATTTTTAAACTGTGCTCCCCTAATTTTTGATTCCCCCCCTCCCCCCACCAACGCCCGAGGGGAAACATCCCCTCGGCCCCTACTCTGACAAGCCCCCTCAGAATCTTTTGAAGGCTTCCACGTGGTCAGCTCTCATTCTTCTGAGCAGTCGTGTGTGCATAGGCCCGGCCTGCTGAACCTTTCTTCACAAACAGCCCTGTCATCCCACGAATTAGCCCCAACGAAGGTTCTCTCCAACCGCCTTCCGTAGACTGATGAAGTGGCAAACGCAGTTTAGCACACTCCAAGAACAGTGCAGTAATGGAGCAGCTCCATCGGCCCTCCAAGCCTGCGCCAACACATCCCACCTTTTTAAACTTTCTAAACCCTTTGCCTCTACATGGTCCGTATCCTTCTATTTCCTGCCAGTTCATCTGTCAAGATGCCTAAGTGTTGCTATTGTATCTGCTTCCAGCACCTCTGGCAGTGCATTGCAGGTCCTTACCATGCTTTGTGTAAAACAAAAACGCTTGCCTCTCACATCTCCTTTAAACTTTTCCCCCCCTTTTACCTTAAGCCAATGTCCCTTAGAGGCAACACGGTGGCTCAGGGGTTAGCACCGCTGCCACACAGCACCAGGGACCCAGGTTTGATTCCACCCTCTGGTGACTGTCTGTGCAGAGTTTGCACATTCTCCCCGTGTCTGCGTGGGTTTCCTCCGGGTGCTCCGGTTTCCTCCCACGGTCCAAAGATGTGCAGGATCAGTGGATTGGCTGCCCTAAATTGCCATGGTGTGCAGGGATGTGCAAGCTAGGTGGGTTAGCCATGTTACAGGGGTAGAGTAGGGGGTTGGGTCTGACTGGGTTACTCTTGGGAGACTTAATGTGGATTCTATGGGCTGATTGCCTGCTTCCACATTTTGAGGATTCTCTCATTCTTAGTAATTGATATTTCTACCCTGGGAGAATGACTCGGACTCTGATTATCCATTCAATCTAGGCCCCTCATAATTTTATAAACTTCTGTCAGGGCACCTGTAAGCCTCCGATGTTCAAGTGAAAACACACCAAATTTGTCCTCCAAACCATGCAACATTCCGGTAAACCTTTTCACTCCCCTCTCCAAAGCTTCCACATCGTTCTGGTAGTGTGGTAACCAGAACTGACACAACATTCCACATGTGGCCTCACTAAAGTTCTGTACATGACTTGCCAATTCTTATAATCCGTGCCCTGACTGTTCAAGGCAAGCACGCCATCTGCCTTCCTGACCACCTTATGCGTTTATGTTGTTACTTTCAAAGAGCTGTGGATCTGTAGGCCTAGATCTCTCTCTCTCTCTGTTAATGTTTATAAGGGTTCTACCATCTGCGGTGCTCTTCCTTCTTGCGTTAGACCTTCCAAAATGGGGGAGTACACTGCATGCGTAGAGACTAGAGAAGCTGGGATTGCTCTCCTTATAGCACAGAAGTTACAGGGAGATTTGATAGAGATGTTCAAAAGCAAGGAAGGTTTTGATAACAGTAAAATAAGATGAAACTGGTCCCAGTGGCAGGAGGTTCAATAACCAGAGGGACACGTAGGTGTGTTCTGGCTCTGAAAGGAGCCAATTATTCACAAGCCCTAACACTAGAAGAGATACCAAAATTAGGAGTACTTTATTCCATAACCAAAACAGTCCTCATCTTCCCTAAATCTTATTTTCCTTCCAAATGTTTATGTGACTTGTTATTGAAAGGTTTCTTTATTCATTAGTTCACAGGATAGGGGCATCGCAGGCTGGGCCAGTATTTGTTGCCCCACCCCTGATTGCCCCTTGAGAAGGTTGTGGTGAGCTGCCTTCTGTTTTTGAACTGCTGCGGTTCAGTTTGTTGTAGGTGCACCCGTAAGTCTGTCAGGGAGTGAGTTCGAGGTGACACTGAAACAGGAGTGATGTATTTGAGATGGAGATGGTGGGAAGATTTTGAGGTTTGTTGGCTCGCCAAGCTGGTTTGTTGTTCCGCAGACGTTTCATTACCGTGCTGGGTAACATCCTCAGTGCAGCCTCTGATGAAGCGTCGGTGTGTTTTCCCGCCTGGTTTTTAAACTCTGGGGTCCGTTGCGATGGATTGCCTCACTTCCGGGTTTCCTCCGCAGTGGAATGTATATGGGGTCGAGTTCAATGTGTTTATTAATAGCCTGCTTCGTGGAGTGCCATGCTTCCAGGAATTCTCGTGCCTGTCTCTGCCTAGCCTGTCCCAGGATCTTGGTGTTGTCCCAGTTGAAGTCGTGGTTCTCCTTGTCCATGTGGATTGAGATGAGGGAGTATTGGTCGTGTCTTTTTGTAGCCAGTTGGTGTTCATGTACTCTTGTTGTTAGTTTCCTTCCTGTTTGTCCGATGTAGTGTTTCTCACAGTCTCTGCAGGGGATCTTGTAGATGACATCGGTCCTGTCCATGGTGGGGAGTGGGTCTTTAGTTCAGGTGAGCACTTGTTGTAGGGTTGATGTGGGTTTGTGTGCCCCTCTGATGCCCAGCGGTCGTAGAAGTCTTGTGGTGAGTTCTGACGTGTTCCTGATGTAGGGTAGTGTGATGAGTGTGTCGGGGCGTGTAGAATCTTTCTGATGCTGTTCCTGTAGGCATCTCCTGACCCAGTTCTTTGGATATCCATTATCCTTGAATACTTGGAAGAGGTATTCCTCCTCCTCTTGGCGTAGTTCCATGTTGCTGCAGTGCGTTGTTGCCCTTCTAAACAGCGTTCGCACGCAGCTTCATTTGTGTGTGCTTGGGATGGTTACTATTGAAGTTCAATACCTGGTCTGTGTGTGTTGCTTTTCGGTGTACTTTCGTTTGCAGATGCCCATTTGTCTTGCGCTCTACCATGACGTCCAGGAATGGGAGTTGTTTGTTCTTCTCTCTGGTGAATTTTATTCCAGTGAGGGTGTTGTTTATGACGGACCAAATTAGAAGAGACACACAAACTCATAAACAACACCCTCACCGGAATAAAATTCACCAGAGAGAAGAACAAACAACAATACTCCCTCATCTCAGTCCACATGGACAAGGAGAACCACGACTTCAACTGGGACAACACCAAGATCCTGGGACAGGCTAGGCAGAGACAGGCACGAGAATTCCTGGAAGCATGGCACTCCACGAAGCAGGCTATTAATAAACACATTGAACTCGACCCCATATACATTCCACTGCGGAGGAAACCCGGAAGTGAGGCAATCCATCGCAACGGACCCCAGAGTTTAAAAACCAGGCGGGAAAACACACCGACGCTTCATCAGAGGCTGCACTGAGGATGTTACCCAGCACGGTAACGAAACGTCTGTGGAACAACAAACCAGCTCGGCGAGCCAACCAACCTCAACACCCACAACCCGAGCTACAGATCTACTCCAAAACCTTAATGGTGGGAGGAGGCTGGTGTGATGTAACCACTGTCATGGACAGGTTGTGCCGAATGGCCTCTGAAAGCTGTAAATTTCTTCGTCGTCTTATGATCCCAGCTGATAGCAATAGCAGACAAGTTTCTCCTAGAATGAAACCCAATCTGATGGGCCATAAGTTTTTCTTTGCTATCTGCTTACCGTGATGATCTTTCTCCGAGCAATTTCTGAAATCTAATTTAACAGTATAGCACAAAAGTTTGAGACTCGCAAAAAAAACTGCTCTGCAAGAGTCATATGAAAGTATCTAGTTACATAGGACATAGAACAGTACAGCACAGTTGAGGCCCTTCGGCCCACAATGTTGTGCCCACCTATTATCCTACTAAGATCAATCTACCCTGCATACCCTACGTTTTACTATCCTCCATGTGCCTATCCAAGAGTCGCTTAAAAGTCTCTAAAGTATCTGCCTCCACTACCACTGCCGGCAGTGCATTCCACACACCCACCACTCTCTGTGTGAAGAACCTACCTCTGACATCTCCCTAGACCTTCCTCCAATTACCTTAAAATTATGCCCCCTCGTAGTAGCCATTTCCACCCTGGGAAAAAGTCTTTGACTGTCCACTCTATCTATGCCTCTTGTCATCTTGTACACCTCTGTCAAGTCACCTCTCATGCTTCTTCATTCCAATATAAAAAGCCCTAGGTCCCTCAACCTTTCCTCATAAGATCTGCCCTCCAGTCCAGGCAGCATCCTGGCAAATCTCCTCTGCACCCTCTCCACAGCTTCCAAATCTTTCTTATAATGAGCTGACCAGAACTGAACACAATATTCCAAGTGTGGTCTAACCAGAGTTTTATAGAGCTGCAGCATAACCTCAAGGCTCTTAAACTCAATTCCCCTGTCAATGTAAGCCAACACACCATACGCCTTCTTTACAACCCTATCAACTTGGGTAGCAACTTTGAGGGATCTATGGATGTGGACCACAAGATCCCTCTGTTCCTCCGCACTGCCAAGAATCCTGCCATTAACCCTGTATTTTGCATTCAAATTCAACCTTCCAAAATGAACCACTTCACACTCCTGCGGGTTGAATTCCATCTGCCACTTCTTTGCCCAGCTCTGCATCCTGTCAATGTCCCATTGTAACCCACAACAGCCCTCCACGCTGTCCACAACTCCACCAACCTTCGTGTCATCGGCAAACTTACTAACCCACCCTTCCACTTCCTCATCCAAGTCATTTATGAAGATCACAAAGAGCAGTGGTCCCAGAACAGATCCCTGAGGAGCACCACTGGTCACCGAGCTCCAGGCTGAATACTTTCCATCTACTATCACCCTCTGTCTTCTATTGGACAGCCAGTTTTGTATCCAGACAGCCAAATTTCCCTGGACCCCATGCTTCCTTACTTTCTGAATGAGCCTACCATGGGGAATCTTATCAAATGCCTCGCTAAAATCCATATATACTGCATCCACTGCTCTGTCTTCATCGATGTGTTTTGTCACATCCTCAGAGAATTCAATAAGGTTTGTGAGGCATGACCTGCCCCTGATAAAGCCATTCTGACTATTTCTAATCAAACTGTGTTTTTCCAAATAATCATAAATACTATTTCTTAGCATCCTCTCCAATAATTTGCCCACCACAGAAGTAAGACTGAACGGTCTGTAATTTCCAGGATTATCCCTATTCCCTCTCTTGAACAAGGGAATGACATTTGCCACCCTCCAATCTTCTGGTACAACTACAAGTAACAGCTATAAAAACAGCCCTTTTCCCTCAATGATGGTCTCGCAGACTCTCAATCACAGTGAAAATTCAACTTCTATCTATACTTCAAGGCTGCTTGTTCATTTGGCTTGGCTGTAATTGATTTATGTAAATCTCAGTATTCACTCAATGTTATTGCTTTAGTTCAGGCCTCTTCCTGTAGCCCTTCAGCAAACTACTGACATAAGTCACTTATTTCTCAACATAGGTTTCCTAAACATTTTCACAGGCATTTGTTTCTGGAGGTTTTCTCCTCCACTAAATCACTCATTCAGAACTTCTGCCTTGACTGTTATGGAGACTGCTAAACTGCTGTTGTTATAGACCTTCGCTAAAAAAGAAACCTACGCATTATGTTTCAAAATGAAATTGTTTCTGCCTCTTTGAGTCATTGGATGTTACGTTTCCAGACAACAATACCTCCATTGTTTATCTTCTCTATCTAACTTTGTTTCTAATGCATAGAACTGTTCACCCCAAGAGTTTTAAGGAGCTCATTTAAATGGGTATAAACAAACTTCCAGACAATCTAATAACACTAAGAATAAGAAAATGCAGCTATTCCCTCCCTTTTTAAATTGCACAGTATATAAATACTTAAAACTGCAAGCAATGCATGGTTCCTTGACATTGCAACCAAAATTTTGAAATAGTGAAGATAATTATCACAAACTTTCATTACAAACCACACAAAAAATAAACAAGATGCACAGTTTGTCTCTCTCCGTGGCTATGTAACTGAAATGCACGGCCTCTGCAAGTTTATTTCCAACTCACTTTAGATCTAAAACAGATTAGTGCGATTTTCCTTACGAAACGATGTTCTCTGGCAGCGAGTGGCAAGTTGTTGTAAGTAGAAGGGCAGCTAGAAATGAGGTCAGCAGAGTTATTAATTTTGTAAACACAGATCTCTGTGATCTTTGCAGAAAGATTTTCGAAAGCAGCAAATACCGATCATCTGCTGTCAACACTGCAAGCAGAGGGAACAAAGATCGAGGAAGAGTCTGAGGTGAGTGGCTGGTTCTGCTCTCAGAGTGAGGACAGGCTGGAGGCTGGAGGTTTCCCACTGCATGTTGTCTGGATGGGCCAGAGGTCTGTGTCGATGTCAGTCTGGAAGGAGTGGGTTGCATAGAAAACAGCAATAAGAGTAGACCATTGTAAGATCCAGAGGAGGTTACAGGGACAAGGAGGGATGTAGGGGCCAAGGGTGGTCACAGAAAGGGAAGGGGCTGAAGAAGGTTACAGAGATGGGAGGGGTGTAGAGGTTGAAGGAGGATTCAGAGATATAGAGCAGATGTAGGAGTTGGAGGAGGTGATAGAGATAGGGAGGGGGTGTATGGGCTGCTGGAGGTTGCGGAGATGGGGAAGGGGTGTAGGGAGTGGTGGAGATGGCGAAGGGGTATAGGACCTGCACCACCCTTTGTGTAGAAGTGCTTCCTAAAATCTCTCCTGAATGGTCTGGCCCTAATTCTCAGACTATCGCCCCTAGTTCTAGAATCTCCAGCGAGTGGAAATATGTTATCTTCGTCTACCCCGTCCTATCTATTCCTGTTAATATTTGATCAGATCACCCCTTAACTGTCTAAATACTAGAGAAAACATGCGGAAGTTTTATAATCTGTCCTCATAATATAATGACTGGACTTCAGCTCTGATTCTTAGAAACCTATGTTGTACTCCTTCCAAGGCCTTCATCTGTAACCTGTTGCTATAGCATTTCAAGAGCTCATCTAAATACTTGTTAAATACTGTGATAGTTCCTGCTACTACCTTGCTTTCAGGTGCTCCCTGGAGCAATTCTTGTAATTTTTATTCCACACCCTCTCTAAAGCCTTCAAATCCTTCCTAAAGTGTAGTGCCCAGAACTCGACACAGTTTTCCAACTGAGGCTAGGCCATTGTTGTACAAAAGTTTATTCTATTTTCCGTTTTGTTTTTCTTTTGTTCAGTGTGCCTGTATTTATAAGATGCAGAATCCCACAAGTCTTCAGTTCTGGCAGCATCTGTGGAGAGGAGAGAAACAGAATTAACACCTTGAGTTTAATGGTTCTTTCATCCCTTAGCTTCCCTTGGAATCTTGCCCTCTGTGGCAATCTCACTTATAGAGTCATATAGCATGGAAACAGACCTTTCGGTCCAACCAGTCCATGCTGAACGTAATCCCAAACTAAACTAGCTCCCCACCTGCCTGCTCCTGGCCCACATCCCTCCAAACCTTTCCCATTCATTTACCTATCCAAATGTCTTTCAAATATTGTAACTGTATCCACGTCCACCACTACCTCAGGAAGTTCATTCCACACACGAACCACCCTGTGGATAAAAAAAAATTTGCCCTTCGTGTCTTTTTGAAATCTTTCTCCTCTCAGCTTAGAAGTGTGCCTCCTAGTCTTGAAATCCCACATCCTAGGGAAAAGATAGCGTTAATGCTTTTAATGATAGCATTATTTATATTCTTCATTGTAAGGTCGCCTCTCAACCTTGTACGCTACAGTGAAAAATGTCTCGGCCTATCCAGCCTCCCATACCCAGCAACATCCTGGTAAATTGCTTCTGAACCCTCTCGGGCTTAATAAGTCCTTTCTATAACCGGGTGACCGGAACTGGACACAGTGCTCCAGAAGATGCCGCACCAATGTCCTGTACAACCTCAACATGATGTCCCTATACTCCATTTATAACAGTGGAGAATTTCAGGGAGGGAATTCCAGAGCGTTACGAGCTTGCAGCATCTGGTAGGAAATTCTTATAGTACCGGAACAGGGTCAACGTAGCAAGTCGATTAGCATCCCCCCCCCCCCCACCCCACCACCCTTGGCAGGGCTGCCCAACGCAGCGGGAGAGGAAGCAATTCAGTTTCACCGAGCTCTGGTGGTCCAGAGTTCAGTGCGTCCTGTTCTTCAGCCACGATCGACACCATTGCAACCCTCGCTGTGACCAGTTTGAGTATCCAAGCGCCAACATGACCGCGTTTGAATGGTCTCTACTGGCAGGGCCATGCAGACGTAGAACTTGGGAGCCATGAGCAAGAGCAAAGCTCCCTCCCTTCCTCGGCAAAATCTTTCTGAGCTCCAGGCTCGACCGTTGCAACAGATTTTTCGTTGGTCTCCCGTCGTCCACTCTCCACTGTCTGGCCCATACAGGGCCTTGGTGAGACCACACCTCGAGCACTGTGCACAGTTTTAAACTCTTTATCTGAGGAAGGATGCTGTTTTTGCAGAGGGAGAGCAACAAAGGTTTCCCAGACCGATTCCTGGCATAGCAGCACTGACACGTGGAGAGACTGGATCGGTTTGGACGATATTCCCTGGAGTTTAGAAGAACGAGGCGGCATTTCTCGTAGACACGTACAAAATTCTAACAGGACTAGACAGGATAAACACAGGAAAGATATTCCCCATGGTGGGGAGTCCAGAACTAGGCATCTCAGTCTGAGGAATAGGGGGTAGGCTGTTTAGGACTGAGATGAGGAGAAATGAGGGGCCCATGAAATTCTCTACCAGAGAAAGCGTTTGAGGCCAAAAAGGAGTTGTACATAGTTTATAGCGTCAAACAGATCACAGGGTATGGGGGAGAAAGTGGATGCAGGTTACTGACTTGGAGAATCAGTCGCAATGGTCTTGAATGGTAGAGCAGGCTAGAAGGGCTGAATGGTCTACTCCTGCACCTCTTTGATATTTTTCCATCTTACCTCCTGACCTACATTGGTTGTTGGTTTTGTCACTGCCTTGATTTTTCAACCTGTCTGTATGGACTTGACTCTCCCTGTCTCTGTAACTTCCTCCAGGTCTATAACTCACCCTGTCTCTGTAACCTCCTCCAGCCCACACACCCGTCCCTATCTTTTGTAACCCCCTCCCTATCTCTGTAACCCCCTCCAGCCCCTACACC